TACTAACTCAAAAGGTTTTTCCAAATCTTATCCTTAATTACATTAATTTCTCTTATAATTATGTTAAAATTTGATATTTAATTTATAAAAATACATATTTATAGCGATAAATCTGAAATGGTACGCGAAAAATTTTAGTATCCAGTACATATCTTTCCAGTAACAAAACCGATACGCATGTCGGTACGGTATTGACTCCCTTGATTCAAAGTATAATAATGCAATTAGTAAACAATCAAAAACCTAAATTTCAGAGACAAACTAGAGCCCATAAATTTTCTCAAAAAAGAAAAAAGAAGCTAAAATTCAATTCTAGCAATAACCCATCATTTTCTAGCCAACGAAAAGCTATCAAAATGAAAAGACAACTCCAATATATGTTAGAATGAAGAGATGTTCCCTAACACTATTTTGATTGACACATGCAAGTAAGAAGGATAGAAAACCAAGCCAAAATCCCATAGAATAATCAAAACTAGAGCAAAATATACATGTCAAAATCAAGAACATAACAAAATCTAATCCATAGAAAACATAGATAAAGATTAGGGGCTCATCGGAATGAGCAGTTTAGTGTTGGAAAAGATGAAATACACAAGAATCACTGCAAGTGAGAAAAAGGAAATAATATGAGTTTTGTACTTAATGAAGAAACTAGAAACAAGAGAGAAGAAGGTAGATCGGAGACCTCTCAAATGATTGACGAAGCAAACCTCAATTGCAAAGTGGTGCTGATTTGTGATGATCAATTAAATGAGAGAGCTTAAGAGGTCGATCAAGATAAAAGAATGAGCAAGGGGCAAGAGAAGGACTTTACTTTAAGTCTAGCAAAAAAAAAAAAAAAAAAACATCCTAAGTTGTCCCATGGGGAAGAAGAGATAATTTTTATCTCATTAGGTTAGGGTTGGAAAAAAAGTAGGATATACCTTATCGAATCCACTAACATCCCCAACTTTTTATCCCATCTAAGGGTGACAATTTGCCTTGATCCTTGCGGGGTCTCGTGGGGATCTCGCCATGGGATGAGGTGAGATGGGAGACATTTTTCCCCCGTGAAATTTCATGGGGAATTTTCCCCATCCCATGGGGCCTTATGAGGATCCCTATCCCCGGAAAAAATTAAAAAAATATGTAAATTAATTTTATTTTAAATTTAATTCAACATTCAAACCCAAACTCAATCCAATAAATATTAAAATTAATTCAATTTTACCCAACCTAATCCAATTTAACCCATAAAAATTAACCCAATTCATCATCAATAAATTTGTTGATTTAACTATTTATGTTGAATTTATCTTTATTTATGTTTTGACAATTTATATTTGATTTATATTTAAAGAATTTTTTTTAATTATACAAAATTTAAAATTTTATTTATTATAATTAAATATTAACTAATTATATGTAAAAAACTTATATTTTGATATTAATTAATGAAAAATAGAGATTCCGACAAAAATGGGATGGGAAAGGACTGCCCAACCCTGAAGGCCCATTGACATTCCTAATCCCATCCCATGAATAGTGCAAGGTCCAAACGCGCTGTAAAGAAGTAAGTCAGTCCCCTACAAAAAAATAAAAAGTGGCAAGTGCATCCAATGTCGTCTTTTTTTTTTTTTTTTTTTGGGTGGGTGGGTGGATTTGGGAGGTCGAGGTTTGGGCCGGAATATGGGGATCTTATTTTCTTTTTATTAATTACATCATGGGTGGTGGCCAATTGGGTCTGGCGGCCCGGTGAGAATTTATGGACTTTGATATTATGGAATTGCAATGTTGTGCCATATGAGTGCAGTTTTTGGATTAACCTGTTTAAAATATAGTTGATAATTAATAATTAATAATTATTATTTATAATTTAGTGTATCTAAATTATTTGATTAAAAATAATAGTTAATAGGTATTTATAAAGAAAAAAATAAAATATTTTAGTATTTAAAATATTAAGACATTTTATTATTAAATATCTTGATACTTCTAATATTAAAATATTTTAATTTTTCTTTTTTTATTTATAAAACTCCACAGGAAACTTATCTTCATCTTCCCCAACAGCTAGTGCTAGACCAATACTAGTTCAGTGGTTCCAAAGAAGGCAGATACGAAACGTAGCTTTGATTTTTGAAATGAGGTTACGTAAAATAAGGACGTACTAATAATTAAAATATTAAAAATGATGAAAGAGATGAATTTCTTGATTGTTGAACTATTTACCACCATCGATAATTTGAGTATATTATTTTCCTTACAATTAACACATCACACACTAAAATGATTCATAAATAATTTTAAATAATTTCATAAACAATTTTAATATTTTAAATGTCAAAAAAAAAATTCTTGATTTCCACTTTTCTAATATAATTTAAAACCAGACCTAAGACCCTACTCTTAACTATCAGTTTCGACTTCCGATTCTGGACCTTACCCTATGGGAGTCAGTTCTATCAAGTTCCTAGCTAGTTCACCTTGACTCGCTGTTTGCCCTTAAACGAAAAATCATTACCAAATGCTTCAATCAGAATTCCGACATTGCTAGGGAGTGTAAACTGGCAACCAAGCTCGATCTCAACTCAATAATTTAGCTTGAACTCAATTAATTTTGGTTCAATTAGACTCAAACCGAACTCAACAGCTCTCCTTATCCCACATTAAATAATTCACAAACTTTACAAGTTGGAATCCAATGGTCAACTTTAAACACGGATAGCCTCTTTCAATTCAAACCCTCAAATCATTTCACATTCAGCTCAAAAACATATACTGCACAACCCATTAGCTAATAGCCATGTGCTTTAATGGCCAATTCCAGCTGGCCAACATATTGCAACCATTTACACGTACTACTTTAATTTCTAGTCTTTCTTTATGTCAATCACCAAATTCTGAGGCTTTTAATATATAGATCATTAGCAAATGAGATTTAACGTTTAGTGGTTAAGAAGGTAGAGATTAAAACTTAAGGTTATAAGCTTGGTTCATATAAATAATGAGTTTTCTCTTTAATTTTTTTAAAAAAATTTTATATTATATCTCAATCAAGATATTTATACTGAGTTTAATTGTATATTTATCTTGTACTCTATATTGAAAATGTAAACAAATCATTCAATAAAAAGACTCACCCAGTCATCCCTTTATTCATTTCTGTATAAAAGCAGCAGCTAGCAAGTGGCCCTTCAGAAGTTTGTATATCTTCCATCTGGAACTCAATGTGAAACCATGAAAAAAAACTTACTAAAAAATACTTGGCCTTGCGAAAACTTCATTTGGAAGATTTTCAAGGTTTCCTTTTTCTTGTGTTTCCATTATATTTTTGGCTGAATTTAGG